TGGCAGGAACCCAAGCTGCTGGCATTGGAAGGACTGACCCTTGCCAACCTAAGGAGCCTGTTCCCAGCTGTAATCCTGGAAGGTGACAGCCCTTGTAGCCTGGGGTTTGGACAGCAGATGCTCCAGGGGGTCACCCCTTTTCCCATAGGGAAGGGCAGAATCATTCCCAGTATACCCTCCAGCTGGCAGGCAGGAAACCCTGCCCAGAGGGATCCCATTGCTTAGTCGGTACATACACACCCCATACCCCCCTTCCCAGTATCCACTTAACGGTCTGGTTTCTTCTCAAAGCTTTTTATATTTCACATTCCTAAGATTTAATTATGTTATCAGAACAACAGGCATCAGGATTTGGAGTGCCAGAATTCACATTAGCAATTGCTATCAACAAAGAAAATGGGCACAGCATGCCCATGCCAGAGTAGATGTGGGCTGCTCTCCTCAATCCACTCACAGTTATTTATAGCCTATTTGCAAGACAGCCACCTCCCAGGTTTAGCTTCAAGCTTGCTTTTTTCTGAGCACCCTCTCCCTCAAAGAAAAGCTTTTTGCTTTTGCACAGAACCCAGATTTGGACACATTATTGGGGGGGGGAAGGGAAGGGTATAGAACACATTTGAATGATCTTTCATACATTGACAACAGGAGGAAAAAGTGAAAACGGAGTGCCACAAATAAATAGCTGTGGGGACACCCACTCCCTCAATGGTAGAGATTTTAAATATATATATATTTCTAGTTTCTAACACTTTACCACATCACAGTAGTACCGCTGTGCATCTCCAGCAGCTTTCCACCCTCCCTGCAGACAGGGATTGAGGCATTACCTCTGCAAGGCAGGAAATCTGCTCGAACATACCTACCTTTTTTTGAGACAGTAGCAAAGCAGCAGCCACACGATAGCAAGACGGGAAAGAGCTGTGCCTCCACATCAGCATTAACTATGACTTAACCAGCCTTCAACCAGCACCATTTCCAGGCAGCCTGATTCTGTCAGGATCCTTCACCTCCAAGTAATTAAGAAACATAAGACACAATGCACGCAGTACAGGTGCAAACCTACCCACCAGCTTATTTTCCTCCCCTAAGGAGCAGCTGGCAGACACCTCCAGTATTCTTCCCCATAATCCCAGCTTCTGCTAAAGTCAACCCAAGTTTTAACATGGATGTTAGCAGGAACTGGGTCAGATACCAGCTCTTCCAAGCCTGGGAGAGATTTGGCACTTAAGAGAACCCACTCACCCAAGTTAGCTGACGTGGCTTTGGTCACACACCGCATCGCTTCTGCATTCACAGGCGTGTCACCCGGTCCCCAGCACCTGTCTCTGGCTGCAAAGCAGCATCGTCAGGGCAGGGGTGACCCAAAGCTCACTTGGGGCATCAGAGGGAGAGCCGAGGCCCTTCAAACCTCCCTGAAACTCTGGTTAAAATGCAGGAGTGGTGCTGGTTTTAGTCCTGCCTAAGGAAATGCTCAGTCAGGCTCTGACTGAGATACAGCAGCTCCTCACATGGCTAAAATCCCATGTGGCCCTGAAAAAGAAAGAAATTATTAAGAGTACATAATAGTTTTACAAACCACAGCACAAACCACCTTTAAAATATTAGTAATAATAATTAATAATAATAAACACCCGAACACCACACCCCTTCTGCTAAAGGGGGCAGGAGGAGGCTCAAGCTTACAACTCTAGCATGTTTTATTTTGTGTAAATTTATAAAGACAACAATCCTAGTCACGATTGTCACATTGTACAGCACATACCAATACAGTTGCAAACAGAACTCCACACAAAACTAAGCGCTAACAGTAGCCTGAATCACTCTTCCTGCGATTGTCATATCTAGACTAACAGTATTACACTAACACTGAGGAAAAAATAGTTCACTATAAAACAGTGATAGAACGTTTTTATAAAATATATTCCATTCCAATAGCTTTTCTACATACTGTATACTATAAAACTCTCCCACAAAAATTAGTGTCTTTAAATATACATATTTAATCTGAACTGCACCAAGATTAAAAACAATTAAAAATATCAATGATATTCTTTTTTTACATTAACTTCACAGTATTTATTTGTAGTAGAAGTCAAATCCAGTGTTTAAAATGCAGAGCAGGACTGTTCTCTACAGAGACAGTAACTGCCCCACAGTGAAACAGTTCATGAAGAGACAAGCGTTAAGTGTGCCATGTTTTTAGTACTTCTCTGTAGACTCATGAACCATTTTGAAAACATGCTCCGAGCTATTGCAACTTAAAAATAAGAGAGACACACAGAGAGATAGCCAAAAAAAGTCACCTTAAGAACAAAAATAAGTGCAAACATTCTTTTACTTTAGAAATTCAAGCTATGAGGAGTGGGAACACAAATATCAGACTATGAGAACAGCGTGTCCATGATGTAGTCAAGAACGAGAAAGTCTTTTTTTCCTTAAAGAAAAAAAAACAAAACACAACTTTTGCCCCATATTCACTGCAGCACAGAGCATGCTCATAGCATCAGTTTTAATGAATCATTTCTATACTAAGATCAGACACAAACTCATTTCAACTTTTCCCTGCTCCATATGCTAATTATTTTCTTATGGCACATCCTATTTTATGATCTTCTAAAAAAAAAATAAAAAAATAAAAAAAAACAGTAATTGAAGACTGAAATGCAAAGCAAGAATGCAAAATTAAGATTACCAGTTTCAGTAATGCTGACTCTACATTAAACCAGTTACATGTTGCTCAACATGGAAAACCCATTGTTATAAAATTTAAAGCGAAGTGTAAATTAACTAGTTTTGAAATAGATTAACAGTAATAATTCCATTTAAAAAAAAAAAAGAAAAAACAACAACAAAAATCTAATAAATACTATATCAAGTATTTTCAGGAAAAAAAAATAACTTAATTTTAGTAGAAAGAAAAATAACTTAATTTTAGTAGATTTTGTTCAGTGCTATTTCCAATCACAGCAAAAAGGAATAAAAAAAGAAAAAACTGATTAAGTAGAATAAGACCACAGTACCAAACCCACTTATGCTCAAGATACAGTACTCTCCCACAACTTTCATATGTAACAGGTTCAGCAAAAATATTTTACAGTTAAGAAATTAGAATGAAACCCCAAAATCTATAAATAGAAGCAAAATTTCACATTACATGTACATTCATATTTTAAGAGATGAATAACAAGAGGAGGCTGTAACAAGTATATCCTGATTTTCTTTAAGAGAGGAAGTACTTACTTAAAATAAAAAAATCCATCCCATATTATTTATGTAGGTAGTGCTCAGTTTATGGACCAGAGGGGGAAGGCATTGGGAAGTCTCTTCTTCCCAAGAAGAAATACAGTTATTTTAAGCACAACTTTTTTAATTAATCTATCTCAGTGCTTCAAATTAATTTTAAAACAAATGCCTAAGTTTCACAAAAGAACTTCAGGAGTGTCAGGAAAGCTGGTGAGGCAACGCTAACGCAGCAGAACGGCATTCAAAACCTCAGATATTATTATTATTACTACTATTTTTCAGTCCCATGTACATGTACCTTGAACGGGTAATTTGACTGGAAGGGAATAATCTGGTATTTACCAACATGCACAGACCAAAGGATGCTCTATTAGGCAAGTAATTCAGTTATTTGGACTAAAACTTGTTATAGTTAGAAGCAGCCTTAGTTTACAACTAAAACTGGAAAAAAAAAAAACAAACCAAAACCCAACACCTGAAAATACCCCCAAAACCTCCCCTGAAAAGATGGGACATGGGGGAAAATGCTGGGCCATGTCTTTGCTCCAGCAGTTTATCTTCATAGTGCCCCTTCGAAACACCGGCAATTGCACAGAATTTGGTGAAGAGGAAATCACCAACTTCATAAAAAATAAAACAAAACAGAATTTCAAGCTGCTGATGTTAGTATAGCAGCCAACTCCCCAGACAAGACATCAGGGCACCTCCTAACACACATGGTATGAGTTACCTTTTATTACAAAACCCCAGGAGTCCCATACTGAGAGGAGTTATTTAACTGCTGTAGGGCTGCTGTCTCCCTTAGGGGGAACAGGATGAGCCCCTGGGTATTGATATGGGAATGATAATATTCACATACTGTATTTTTCTTATGTCCTAGTGTGCATCCTTCTACATTTCAGGAGTGAATACGCTGCAGACAGAAAGAATTTTTCCATTCACATTCTATACTCAAAAGCAGCTTTTCAGTAAGTCAGCCCAGGGAGGAGGAGAATGGGTGGGGAGAGGAAATTTAAGTCAAGTCCCAAGGCAAAACCTTTGCATTCAGACTTCAGGAGCGATGCAGAACTATTCTACTATAATAAAGAGAATAAAAATGACCAGTACCAAAGACGCCGCCAGGAATCCTCAATGCCCTTTTATAATTTGGGCCAATTTAACATCTCGTCTAGCTCTATAAAATAAGAGTACATCCGCTTACTCTGCGATATGCAGACAAGTTTCTCTACACTGAAATGCATTTAAATCGCAGCTCATCTCTTTGGATGTTTCTATGCAACACGCAGAGAGCATTAGGAGAGCTTAATGGAATCCAAATTTTTCTCTGGAATTTGCTGATCATCTTTCTTTAAACTAAATTAAAAAAAAAAACAAGAAAACAAACAAGCAAACAAAAACCCTGACCACGAAGTGAATACTCCCAGTGTGAAAACAGATGCTAAACCACTGCAGAATTACTTAGATCATTTCACATTAATAATATAACATGGGTGCGCACAAGAGAAGACCTAAAGGACAGTGCTGGGAAGGGAGGGTGGCAGGGGAAGAGATGGAGAGGTGGAAGGATTGCATTAAAAGGCCTCTGGAGTGTATAAGTGTATACCTCTCCATCTTTTAAAGATCATATACCTGAAGTGAATATCACCAAAATAAAATAAGGGGGGGGAGGGATAATTCAGATGCTGCCTTTTCTTCCTGTTTTGTTTTAAAAGGGTTGGGGGGATAACAACAAAACTAAAAGTTAAAAAAAGAAATGAAAAAAAAAAAAAGAAGGATCCCACATCTCAAACCACCAAGGACTTTACAAGGCCACAATGAAATTTGCGGATATGTCTGTACAAATCCCCAGACTGCGTGAACCGTCTCTCGCACCACTTGCACCCATGGGGTTTCTCCCTGGTGTGCACGACTGCGTGGCGGCTGAGGTTGTGGGAATACTGGAAGCTCTTTCCACACTGGCCGCAGGTGTAGGGCTTCTCCCCTGAGTGAGTCCTCTCGTGCCTCTTTAACGTGTACATGCAAGAAAATGTCTTTCCGCAGAGGGTACAAGTGGGGACCGACCCGTCGGGGGACAGGCGGGTCCGGGAGCCGTCCTTGTCACGGAAGTGCGAGCTCAGGTGCAGCTGAAGGATGTGCGGACTCGGGAACACCTTGCTACAGAGGGGGCAAATGCAGATATGCCCTGCAGGCACAAGGACACCCGCAGAGATGTCCGCCGAATCCATGTCATCCTCACTCTCATCTCGCTCTTGATCTATATCCTCCTCTCGGGCATGAGAGCTGCCATTCCCCACGAACATGTGTCCTAACCCTGTCACTAGACTTTTGGCTGAATTCCCAAAATGCTGACTCTCCGGACTCCTGGCTTCACCATCCTCCTGATCTGACAGCAAGTCTTGTTCATCTTTAACAAGTGGCTCGGTACCCTGCTGCTGGCTGTCGGAAGCCAGCTGTCCAAAGACATAAGAGGGGTGTAAGGAATCTCTCCCCAGCACAGGCTTGAAAGACAAATCCAGCGCGCAGTCCACATCACTCGAAGCCAGGGGATAGTTAACAGACCTTTGGGACAAAGGTCCTGTGGAACTATTGACATTAGCCTTTGTTTTTCCAGCTGCTGTGGCGCACGGTTCTGCCTCTGTCGGCACAGAGCTGACACTTATATGATCAGAGGACCAGGCGGGGTGACTGCTGACCTTTTCTTTGCCTGCTGCTCTCTCGTATTCTGCAACGCTGAATTTTTGTTTGTTTCCTGGGTCAAACTCGTGGACCTGGGGCACTCCAGCATCTAGAAAATGCTCCGCTTTCTCCAAACCAGCCGCCTCATCATTGATCTTCTCTTCCGAACATAATTCTTTATCTTTCAACTTGCCCTTGCAGACTTTCACAATGTCATACATGTGAAGGTAGCTAGCCGCAGCCAGCACATCCTCCACCGGGAGACTGTTGAATTCCAGCTTTCCCTCGTACATGAATTCGAGCAGCAGGCTGAAGGCTGGGGCTGTGACAATGTCACTGTTCAGATGCACAATATCCCTTTTGTCTAACTGGTCCCTGTAGAAAAGATGGAAGTACATACTGCAAGAGGCAAGAACGGCTCTGTGAGCTCTGAATTGAGCTTCTCCAACTAAAACAGTACAGTCACACAGGAAGCCCTGGTGACGCTGCTGACTCAGACACTGCAGCAACTGGCGGCTATGGTCTGGAAACTCCATTCTTCCTTCATAACCTGTTCAAAACAGGAAAAACTTGAATGCTACTGTAAACTAAAGCCTCCTAGCAGCTGTAACAAACAGATCGGCTTTTTGGTAACACAAGCCAAAGAAACAGCCTTGGAGATAACGTTTACTGTTAATTGTCTGTAATAGTTCTATTAAAGCGGGGGGGGGGGGGGGGGGACACGACCGACACAACATGTTTCTCATCCTTTCGCACCTGCTCCAAACAGGAAAAACTTGATTGTAAGTAAACAAAAGCTAGTAAAGCAGCAGCCCCTCCAACCTTTGTTTCTGCCACTAAGCACTTTAATAAAATTAAGAGCAGGAAAGCGCAAACACGGGGGGGGGGGGGGGGACGGGACGACACCACCATACACTCCCAGGCTGTCCTCCCAGCAATGCTAACTCGGGGCATCTTTTAATAAAGCTTATTACTCACGTCACGCACATGCACACACGCATATTTAAACTTTAGCCTCTATCGTTATGCACCAAATCACAACAAAACGGTCGCGGCCGGCGCCAGAGAAGCGGCGTGCTGGCGGCGGGGGGGTGTGCGGGGTGCAGCGGCCGTGGCCCCGCATGCGGAAAGGGTAGAGGGGGATAGAGGGGGAAAAAGTTTCCCTTGAAGTTATTAAAAGCCAGGGAGTAAACTCAGCAGCGTGAGGACAGAGGGAGGTTAGGGCTGAGGCGGCAGCCGGCCACCCGCCGCGGTCGGGCTCTTACCTTCCCGCGGGGCGCGGCGGAGCGGCCGCGGAGCCGGGCGGGCAGGAGGGAGCGCGGGTGCGAGTGCGAGCGAGGCGCGGCGGGAGGAGGGAGGCAAGCGGGAGGGAGGAGGGAGGGAGGGAAGGAGGAGTGCTCGGTTTGCTAATTACACCGCAAGCTGGAGAGTCAGCTGCTCTGACTTCACTGCGATGGAAATGCTACCTCCAGCTGTGCGCCTTTTAATGCCATATGTTACTCCAAATCTCGCTACCAGCCAACCACAGCTTGCTGCCTTTTAAAGTTCCAGCCGCCCCATTTATAGCCCGCGATTAAATCCCACAAACTTGCCCCGAGCCCGCCCCCCCCATATACATTCGCACCCCCCCCCCCTACACACCCCCCCCACTTCCAGCCGCAAAGTTTCTCCCCGCAGCCCTCCGCGGTGACCTTCGCCGGTGCCCGGCTCCGCGCAGCGCGGAGCGGGGGGGGAGGGGGTGTGGAAACACACCGCGGAGCCGCTTTTGGGAACCCTCCCGGCCTGCAGCCGCGCTAACTTTGCAGGGAGGACTTTCCCTTGCGGAGGGGGGGCACGGGGGACCGGCCAGCTCACCGCTACTCACCGGCGTGCGACGGTGGGGCTCAGCGTCCGCATGTGCGCAGCGCTCCGCGGGTGCGGCGCGGGGCCAGCGGTGCTGTGGAGCAGGTTGTTAGCCGGCCGCTCTCGCGATACTTTCCCTCCGAGCCGCGGGTGTCTGTGTGTGTGTGTGTGTGTGTGTGTGTGTGTGTGTGTGTGTGTGTGTGTGTGTGTCTGTGCGTGTGTGTGTCTGTGTGTGTGTGTCTGTGTGTGTCTGTGTCTGAGCGTGTGCGTGTGTCCCCGTCTGGCGCACACAATAGCCCCCGCCGCCCCGGCCAGCCCTGCCGGCGGCGCCCGGTGTGCGCTGCCGGCTGCGCCCTCCCCCTCTCCTCCCCCTCCTCCCGGCCGCTGCATTGGCAGCTCCGCCGTCCCGCTCCCAACTCCGCTGCGCCGCCGCGGAGAAGGCGCGTCCGACCGCCCGCTGCAGCCCGACGTGTCGGGGGGGAGGGGGCTGGCCGCGGAGAGCGGGGCCGGGTCCGCGAAAGGACGGGGTTGGGGGAGGGTGTGAGCGTGGCCCCTGCACGGCGGCGGAGATGGGGCGATGAGAGGCGAGGCGCTCCCCTGGATTTATTTGTAGTTGAGCGTCAGCTGATAAATACCAGATGCCTACGGATTTTTCAATATGACCTTTTCGATCGTTCATTTGAATTTTAAATTTTAATTAGCTGTAATCCCATCAAAAGTGAGCGCCTTCGGGGGGGGGGGGGGGGGGGAGCGGAGGGGAGCGCGGACGGGGTCTGGCCGCGGTTCCCCCAGAAGCGCCCGGGGACAGACCCAGCCACCGCAGGGATCTGCCGCTGAACTCCGGTTGCCGGAGTTCCGGAGCCTCCGCGGGAAGCTGGAGCGTGGCTGGCGGTGGGGATACGCTGAGGGGGATGTCCCGGGAGGCTCCGGCCATGTCAGCACTAGAGCGGCTGCAGGCGTGAAGCAGCGGGTTGGGGGTCCGGGTCAAGGTTGGTGCTCAGGTTTTTGCTGTCCTTGGAAAGGAAAAGGGACGAGTTTGGGAGTCCTGTTGGGTTTGGGGGGAGCGGAGTTCTGGGGTTACTTCAGAGCTCCCTGCGAGCACCCTACGAGGTGTTGGTCAGAGTCTCTCTCCCATGTCTTAGCCGCCAACGGGTAAAGCAGGGAAACTCCCTTCCCCTGGGTTGCCTTATCTAGATCATAATAACCGCAGGATAGCAGCTTTTTGCCTTTTTTTTTTTTAAATATGTTTTCTCCAATGCACAATGGTAGTATCAACATCTTAATACATCAGGTTATCAAGTGGTACATTTGTTAGTAACTTAATCCTGGGTTTGGTTATTTTATCTTTGGGCAGTTTGTGAGAGAAGTCAGGGTCCGCACTGCTGACACCACTTTTTTCTCATGGATCTCAAGCTGTTGGCAGTGAATGTCAGGATATTTTGGTGGTTTTGAGCATTGACTGCGTCATCACAGAGCTTTTAGGTATTTGGTAATACTATCATCCATACAGTTCAAATTGTGAAACTGCAGCCCAGAACGTAAAAGTGCCCAGCTCCAGCAAAATAGTTAAAGGTCCTGCGGTTAAATCTGTCACCGTTCAATAAAGCTGAGAGCTTTTATCATTTTGTCCACAATGGCAGACAGAACCAGGGAATGGAGGTCACTCTCATGTTGAAGATGGTCTTATCCCGCAGGTGCAGCCTGATAATACAGCCTGTTTCAAAAGCAGAGCAATTTCTTCCCCAAATTAAAAGTGCTGCTTCCAGTAAGTTACTCCGAGGATTTGTTGCCTTGCAGAGTTTCACTGTCTTCATACACTGGAAATGTGAGGCAGTCTCTTGTATTCATATAAACTATGCTGCTTAGCAGAAATCCCTTATTTTGTGTAATTCGTTGTTGATTTTTCCCTCTCCCCTTTAATAATATGGGGAGAAAAAAGAAGATTAAAAAAAAAAGAACTAAGGCTCTAAGTCCTGCTTGGGTGCTGTAAGCTAGGAATAATTATCTACAATTAGGCAGTGTCTTACTTTTAGTAAACCAATTTCAATTTCACAATAAGCCTGTGGTCACTACCGAGTTTGACATGTCAGAAAACACAACAGCATTCCCATTTTCTCTAGGTATCCATTTTGTGCATTGCTGGCTTGCTTTTCCAGTCCTCAGAAGTGCTATACTCACTTTCACACCAAGACAACGATAGATACAATACAGGTGTTGTACTGATTTAACTACAGTTGTATAAAATACTGGTAGTACAACTCTCTAATGTAAACAAGCCTGAAGTCATTACTGGAGGCAAGGCAACAGGAAGAACTGCCCCAGAAACTTTGAGTGCTCCTGTGTTTCTGAAAGCCCTTGTGAAAGCACGACACGGGAAGCAAACCCTCAGCTTTCATCTCCCTGGCCCCTGAGCCCTTTGAAGGCTGACAGCTCCCCGACCATGAAGCACTGAAGAGGCTCCGTTTTCAGTCCTTCCTCGAGGGAACAGAGCCAGGCAGCAGCTGTTCGGACGATACAGAACTCTCCAACCAGTGTCTGTGCTCAGGGGAGATCAGAATCATCACGCTGCCATTAGTATGGCTGAAAGTGAACAGGAGCTGATGGAAGACATTGGGAGCCACTATGTTAGTCATCCTTGTGCAGCCACGTGCGTTCCTGGGTCTGGCTAAAACCCTCTTGGGTGCCAGTGAGCCTTATGCTGCTTATGGAGCCTTCTATAGTTGATGATGAAGCCTAGGTTTAGGGCAGAGAGAGTGAAAATCAGTGGTGCTGGCACAGCTTTCATTTGCCAAGCAAGGCTAGCCTCGCTCCTGGTTGTTTATGTTGCCTGGACACCAGCCAAAGCCCACAGAAATTAGTAGAAAACCCAACTGGATCAGGTCCATAAAGCCTGAGGACTCACTTCCATTCTTACCCCTTTGATCCAACAAGAATATATATTTACTGAGCAGGGCCTCTCTAGCCCTCTTTGTTGGCCAAATGCAGAAGTGGTAACAACAGGTTTTTCATGCGATTTAATCATTTTTTCTCTCACCACATTGGGCAGAAGCCTCTTTGTGTTCATTTCTACATGATTTTAGTGCTTTTATGTTGTTCATTTGCTTTGTTTTGTTTTATTTGTAGGGCAACTTTGTGGTAGTCCAGTCACATTTCATATGGAGAGTCAGGGCCTGAGACTGTTTAATACTTGCAGGATTAATTTAAGTGCGTTGGTCATAGTGAGGTTTATTTGCTGATGTTCTTCCAAACTTTCCCAAAGGTTGGTTTATCTCGTGCAGACATCAAAGGGCATTAGAAGGACTGAATGTTTCATTCTCTCCTCTGAAATGGAGAAATGTAACCCGAAAGGATGCTGAGCCCTGGGGTGGTAAGAGAAGGAGCTGCCATCGGTGTCCATGGATCTTCCCCAATTAGCAATCTACTCCAGTACTTACCCTGCAGTCAAATCCAAGGTCAGGATTCAGGGGGTTGCTCAGTTTGCAGTCACGTCATAAAAGTGGGCATGACCTTCCCAAAGATCTTTTCAAGCAGGTCATCTAAGACTCAAGGAAGCATTAACTTGCACTATTGCCATTCCAGACATTAATCAGAGCATACGTTGCAGTCTCCTCAGAAGTGTGCTTATGTGAGTCGTATTTTATGGCTGTCCTGCTTATTTCTCCCTGATAACAAGACCCTGTGTGAACTAGAGTATTTGTGAGTACGTATTGTAGCAGCTAGGGCCATTGTCAAATCATTCTACCAAATAGATAGGCTCACAGCACTAAGCATATATAAATTACATATTAACTTGGTTTTGCTATAACACAGCTGTCAATCAGAATGCACCAATCTAGCGACATACATTAAGAGCGCAAAGGACTCTGCAGAGGTACTGCTGGCACAGGTAGTGTTCTACTCCACAGCAAGAGCTTGCAACATCCCCGTCTGAACCAGCCAGGCATTTAATGTTACACCTGTACTTCAGCTCCCTTGTCAGCAGCTGGGATACAGCTTCCTTGCAGTTACTCATCTTCAATAGTTGCACTCAGCTTACCAAACCCTCAGCTTCTGGTTGTTTTTGTTACAATCTGCTGTGTTCTGGATTTCTAGAAATGGTAAATGAAGGTATTTTTTCAGCCTTTAAAAATACAGTTTTTTTTTCCATAAAGGGAACGCTTCTTGGTTTGCAGTGGTGAAGGAAATTTGCATGGCATTGATAAAACACACTCTCCTCTTTGAGAGGGTTTTTTTTCCTCTTTCACCCCTGCTAATCACCCTGGCAGCCATATTTTAATGTTTCTTGGGTTTCCTTTGGCACATTCAGAATATAATGTGCATCTACTTAAAAAAAATCTAATACAATGAAGCCTGTTATTTAATTCTTACGATTTGTTTTATTTAGCCACCCCAAGAATGAAATCTGAGAGCCCATGTTATAAATTAACATGTATATAAAGTAATGTGTATAGAAGTTTGTAGTGGGATATATGGAGAATGACAGTGAAAGGCCATAAATACCAGTGGACAGTAGGAGACAAAATTGATGTCTGCTTTGGGACCAGGCATAAGATTTAGCAGGCCCATGCAAATGTCTTTAAATCAGATGTTGATATTTTCTCAGATCAGCAGAGCAGCACTGGTAGGGTCCAGCGTAGTTACTAATTTCTTATTAAAGGAGAGGTTCTTAATTGGCATTGCTCTATTTGTAAACAAATAAT